CTCAGATTCTATGATTTTATATGAATGTCTATTAGGTGCAGGGTACTGAGAATGCACAATAGTATAAAACACAAGCCCTGCCCTCAAGGAGCTTACAATCTAATTGGGAAAACAGCATTAATTAAAAAGTTGAATAATAATATAGAGTAGCATGTGCTAAGAGGTATAAACGGTAAGGGCTATGAGTTCAAAAGAAGAGTGACAGCCCACTTTCTTATGACACTGTCAGGTTTACAAAAGTCCTTTCCTTACAGATTAATATAGCAAAGCTTTAATTAAGTGACTTAGTCATACAACCAGTAGGTTGGGGCCAGGATCTGAATGCTAGTCTTTTATGATTTCAGTTTCAATGATCTTTCCACCATACCACACTAACACACTACTCAATTCAGGAAGAAATCCAACTTGGGTCATGGAACACCAAAATCTTCATTCATTCTTTACAGTATCAATCCTTATGATGTTACAATTTCCAATATTACTTTCCCATGTGCTAAATCACATTGCAGGCATTATGGTTTAGAGGAAAGAGCACCAGTTTTAAAGTCAGAAGACTTGTATTGGAGTCCTAGTCCGATGTTACCTTTGTAACTATAAGCAAATTAGCTTCTTTGTTTGTCCATCTGTAAAATGGGGATAATTATATTTGTACCGTCTTCCCCAGAGAAGTTTGTTGGTTTGTTTGTTTTCTTTTTTGAGACTGAGTCTCTCCCTATCTCTCCCAGGCTGGAAGTGCAGCAGCCTCTCAGGAGCCAATCCCATTGCTAATTGGCATGGAAGCTTTGACCTGCACCATTTCCAGCTCGGGCCAGTTTGCCCTCCTTTGGCAGCCTGGTATCCTCACCCCTGCTCCCAGGAGCACACCATATTGGTGCCAGACTTAGTGCAGACACCAGATCGGCTTTAGCACTGATTGAAGTTCAGAACTTCCTTGGTCAAATGATCTACCAGCCTCAGCCTCCCCAGGTAGTGAGGATTAGAGGTCTGCACCATCACACAGAACTCCTCAGAGAGGTGTGAGAAAAGCATTTTGAAGACCTTAAGTGCCTATATAAATATGAACACAAAAGAGCAGGCACAGGCGCAGAGGAGCACAGCTGGGGCCAAGTGTGAGAGATGAACTTTGGTTATTGCCAGCTTCACCTGGACTAGAGTGGAGAGAATATTGAGTCAGGGCCAGTGCTGAAAGACATTCTGGGGCAATCTTCAAACTGGTACATCCTTGGTGATAAACATTTTTCTGCATATGGGAGAAAGTTTGGGCACAAATGCCAAGTAAAGCTCAGGAATGACATAGTGATTACGGTGGTCTGGGTCTGGACCTGAACGTTTTCTCCTTTCTGTTTCCATTGTGTGTGTACTTGGCTGCCAGTTTCTTTGGGAGTTATCAGAAATACATTGGGTGTGTATATGTTCCATGGATGTCTATGTCGATCTGTGGTCTCTTCCTTTGCTACTTAGAACACACCAAAGGGAGATAAAAGTAATGATGCCATGTGTCACAGATTCAGCCTGAGTGCTGCTTATCTGATATTCATCTGCTGAGATCACTCTCTCCATCCCTAGAGAGGATGCTTTGACAGTACTGGCTGTGGAACATAACAGATTGGCAGCTTCTTAGTAACATTTAAGGAGGTTCCTTAATGTTATCAGCAACACCTTTATGAATCATAGCTTAATGTGAACTACTTCTGGGAAAAGTTCTGTAGGTAACCAATTCTATCCAAGGTGAATACTTCCTAATGAAGTAATCTGCCCTTGGGTGTCCTATCTTTAACTGTTCTCTGTGCCTTAGGTTTACATTGACTTCATTTGAGGGGTTACAGTTCACTTTCTATATAATTAAGGGGCTCTTTGTGTTGTTTGCCAGCTCTGGAGTCTAGGAAACGCTACTGGGTCTTTTCACCCAAGATGTCAGATTAGCTCCCTTCTTAGATCCTGACATTGGCTTGGAAAGATTAGAATGTTGTAGTATTGAGTGTTGATTCCTGAAGATGCAGAGTCATGGAGGGATGGAGGAGCCCTGGATAAGATGATACCTGGGGTCAAGAGCTGCTAGTAGCCCTGCCTGCCCTTTGCTATCACCACACATTATAGAGTCGTTAATAAGTCAGGGTCATGACTGAGTAACACACTCACTGACCTAAATCAGGTCAAAGGCTGGGCCTGGGATCTGTACAGTTTTTAATCCTATGGACCAAGAGCAGGGCTAAGTGATATCTGACAGGCTTTATGAAGGTAAAGGAAGGGAATAAGAAAAACAAAGAGACTTGTACAGCATAAAAGAAATGGCAAAAAACAAAAGAGAAAAGTGAGCGCATATGGTGGGGAGGGGTGAATTGCCAATAAGAGTCATTACAGGTGACACTCTCTCCCCAGTGCCGTATGTTACCTCCTCCTAGACTAGGTTAGGATGTGAATGGGTTGGTCAGCCCCAGAGAGACATCGTGAAGAGGGGCTTGTCGTTTGCCCAGTCAGACTTTATAAAAGGAAAGATTTAATGACTACTTTTGACATTGTGAACAAAGCAAAATTCTGTTAAGGGGTAGCCCAGGGCATGTGAGATGTGATTATAATAAGATAATGAGACTGATGCTTAAAAAAAAAACCAGGCAAAATAGAACTTGTCCATACAAGTAAGAGAATTCTCCTTTTGAAGTACTCCCCTAGAGAGATACCTTTATTACAACTATACTTCCATTGTTCAAAATGCAGTTGGGACAGCTTCTTTGACAGCTGTCTTCAGCAATTCAATAGGTAGATTTGATTTTTAGAAACAACCAAGAGCAATTCAAAGTTAAGCGGTGGGAAAAGATATATTATCAAGCTCAGGGAGAGCATTAAGATGATGATGGTGGTGGTGGTGGTGATGGTGATGGGAAACAATAGCTATGTCTAATTTTCTTGTGACATTTCCACAAGGGGAAAGTTCTAGCAATGTTCAGTCATGGCAGAATCATGGAAATAAGCGTAAGCTCTCCCAGAGTGATAACTTTGAATATATGTCTGAATGTGTAAATACAGTACAGTACAGTGAAAAGAGTATTAACTCTGGAGTTAGAGGTCCTGGATTCAAATCCCACTTCTGATGTTTACTACCTCTGTGGCCTTGGGCCTTAACTTCCTTTGACCTCAGTTTCCTTATCAATAAAATTGGGGGGAGGTGGTGGACTAGATATTTCTAAGAGACTTTCAGCTTAAGATCTGTGATCCTATGCATATGTTTGTTTAAAAATCAATCACACTACTTTATGATCATACTTCATACATCTGAGGAGTTTTACCCAGGAGGATTTAGCCAATCGATTTGACTAATGAAGTATAATGGCAAAGACAGGGAGACAGGCAAGAGCCGCATATGGGAATGTCTGGATGTAAGAAGCTCAAAGGAGTGGAATTGGATTGTGTTTTCAGTGATATGAGACGCGTAGGTATTCTCTCCTTTCTGTTCTTGTGTGTGTGTGTGTGTGTGTGTGTGTGTGTGTGTGTGTGTGTGTGTCTACTGTCAGCTCCCTTGGGAGAAAGTTGTCAGAAGTTTGGAGAATAGAAGTCAAGGGAGAGAATGAAAGAGAAAAGGAAAGCACAGAGAGACAACACTGGGCATACCAGGGAGACAAACTATACTAGAGAAAAGAGGGAACAGAATAACCAAGGATCTGGGACTTGGGAGTGCTAAACTGTCTGCCTTGGGATGTAGGATTCAGGGCAGAAAAGAATGTCAAAGGCAGAGTAACCACAGCCTCCAAGCAGATCAAAAATACTGAGAGCTGTTGGCTTCTGTCTGAGTGGGAGGGGGAAATGGGAGTAGAACTACTTCTTAGTGCATAGGGAACCCGTATGCTATGACGTCAGGTCCTAGATGTCCCATGGTCATGACACTGTGTGGACAGCAGAGATGTGCTGGAGCCTAGAAGACTAAAAGAAGACACTCCTCTCAGTACCAGGAGTTACTGTGCAGGGATGAAATGCCACAGAGCAAACCCACCCTACTCTGGATATGCAAAGGTCTCTGCTGCCACTGCTGCTGAAGAATTCCTCAAATCCAAGGTAAGTATTTGAAGGGACAGCTACTTTATAAGTGCAGGGGAGATAAGAATGAAAAAGAAGGGAGGAATAGGCAGCATGGTGTTTTGGGAAGAGTGCTGGACTGGGAAGTCAGAGGACTTGGCTTTCAGGCTTGACTTGACTGTTTACTATCTTGGGCACATTCATCACTCAGTTTCCTCATCTGGAAAATGAGGATGATACTGCTTGGGCGACTTACCTCACAGGGTTGTTGTGAATGGGAGAATATTTTTGTTCTTTGCTAGTAATGATTCTGGTTTTTGTATACAAAGATGATGGGACGGTGGAAAGAGCACTGAATTTGGAGTCAGAAGACCAGAGTTCAAACTCTGTCTCTGCCCACTGCTAACCTGTGTGGTCTTGGGCAAATCATTCAACCTCCTGTACCTCAGTTTCTTCCTCTGTAAAATAAGAGGATTGACCTCTGAGGTTCCTTCACTTCCAAATCTTGGATTCTATGATTCTAGTAACAAATAGGACAAGCTCCTTTGAATTGTTTGCTTTTTTTGGAATTGTTTTGAGGAGGGGTGATAGATTTGCATCAAGCAAGTTAAAGTCTCCATCCTGCTCTTCCCTTTTGACCAATGGCATGGTCATTTGGAAGATGGCTGGTGACCAAGCTTAGGGTTGCAGTTTTGTGACCATGAAACAGGGTAAAGTTACCTGGACTATGTGGGCATGAGGCAAAGGTATCATTATTCATGGATGATATAAAATCTCCTCATTGTGTGACAGTTGTCCAGAAGTGCCGCCTTCTGAAGTGATACTGGCATATAATGAACCCCTAGTTCTTTATAATGCTTAATTATTGTGGTATATGTTAAACTGTGCTTTGGTCCCTCAAATGAAAATTGGTTTCAGTTTCTGGCACATCTCCAGCCTCACCAGTTTAACTGCCAATGGAGTTTACTAGGCTTTTCATTTTTTCATTCTAGGTTCATGAATCACAGGGTTCCAGCCAACAAAAGGTACCAGCCTACAGAATATGAACATGCGGCCAACTGTGCCACACATGCTGTGAGTTTTCTTTTATCTTTAGTTAGGGGTTAGGAGGAGGGAGGTCTGTCAGGCTTTTCCCAGCATAGCCCCTTGATGGATAGGGAAGGGAAATAAGTACATCAGCCTCAACAGACATAACACTGCTTTTCAGAAGGATGCAATAGTCATGGTGACCACCATGAATGCAGGAACGATAAGGCCATCATGAACTACTGGAGCTCATGGGGTCAATTTCAGAGAAATCAGTGTAATCTTATTGTGAGGATCACTCCAATGAACCCAGGCTCAAGAGAAGCTTTGCCTTTGGTGTCAAAATTATAACATGATGCATTTCTCAGCAAAGAAACCCTTAGTTTCATCCATTTGTGTTTGAGGGAAGAAACCATTCAGTGGTTTGTTGAGGGGTTTTTTTGTTGTTGTTGTTAAAAAATGAATATACTTATTCAGTATGCTCCCTATTCCTCCGTTTTCTGGGGAAAATGGAACATTCTATTTTCATGGCAGGAGACAGAAGAAAGTCTTAGGGAAAGAGAAAAGGAGTCTAGGATGGTTGGATCTGTTTGGCTGAGGGTTAGGTGACTCAGCAATAATTCTTCACAGGATGTGAATCTTTGTCTGTGATGATGGTTTTGTTTTCGGTCCTGGTTCTGGTCCCCTTTCACCACAGTTTTATTAAATGTTTGGCCAACCATGCTTGCAAGAGTGTGTATTCTTGAGCTTTCTTAATATCCTTCTTTGAGTTATTTTCCTATCCCTGCTACAGCTATTACCAGTGTAAGTCCCTCGTTGAGTTTGTGTCAACTGAATATCAAGCGAAGGGTTCAGGGCATCGCAGAATGTTAGAGTTGGAAGATCATCAAGCTTAACTCTTTCATATTACATGTAAGAAAACTAAAGAAATGAGGTGACTTGTCCAAGATCACACAACTAATAAAGGGTGAATCTAAGATATGAATCCAGGTCTTCTGACTTCAATTCAGTGGTCTTTCCACTATGCCATTATGGAAGGAGGGATGTAACATAACCACAGAAGGATTTGTTTCTTTATAATTAAAAAGGTGGGGGAGGGGGAGAAGGATTTCACATAATTTTTTTTAAAGACTAGTAATTAGAACACCATATGGTTGCAGTCCAGATTGAAAATGAGAACAGGATCTGTTTTTAAATGCGTCATTCATTTTACTTGCCATATTGTACAATATATAAAAAACCTTGCCTAATTCTGTGATGCTGGGAAATGGATGGAAGGACAGACAGGTAGGTAGGTAAGTAGTTAGATCGATAGATAAATGGATAGGTGGATGGATGGATGTCTTTGGTACGTAGTGTTTAGTAAATGTAAGCATTATTGCCTCTTTGAGAAAATATGAAGCATAACTACAAAATTTATATTTGTATAGTGTTTGGTGCCAGATGTCCAGAAGTGCCACCTTCTGAACTGATGCTGGCATATAATGAACCCCCAGTTCTTTATAATGCTTAATTATTGTGCTGTATGTTAAACTGTGCTTTAGTCCTGCAGATAAAAATTGGTTTCAGTTTCTGGCACATCTTCAGCCTCACTAGTTTACTGTGTGTCACCAGTGGAGTTTCACTGGGGAGATTCAAGGGAAAGATGTTCCAAAAATACTAAAGGTTCATATTTAAGGGAGGATCAGACTCGCTCACACAATTCAGTACATATTGAACACCTACTATGTCTAAGACACTGTGATCAACTGGAGAAGTATAAGATGTAGTCCCTAACTTCAAGAAGCTTACAGCCTAGGGGCCAGCTAGGTGGCATAGTGGATAGAGCTCTAGCCTTGGAGTCAGGAGGCCCTGAGTTCAAATGTGGCCTCAGGCACTTGACCCTTACTAACTGTGTGACCCTGGGCAAGTCACATAACTCCCAATTGCCTCACTAGAAAGAAGAAGAAGGAGAGAAGAAGACAAAGAAGAAGCTTACAGTCCAATTGGAGTGACAAAATGTACATATAACCTCTAGTAGAAAGTAGTTTAAATTAATAGCCACTTAAATGGTGTTTAATAATACTATATACCTGTATAGCACTTGAGGGAACTAGGCGGCACACACAGTACATAGAGTAATGAACTTGGAGTCAAGAAGACCTTAGTCTCAGCCTCAGAGACTTACTAGCTGTGTAATAAACTTGGGCAAGTCACAACCTCTCTTTGCCTCAGTTTCCTCATTTGTAAAATGGTATAGGTATGTATATGCCTATATATGAAATTATCTATCTATATTGCTTCATAAACCTTAAGGCCTGATATACATGCTAGTTATTATTATTGTTATTCATTTCTTTCATATTCACTATCTCAGCATGATACAGTGAAAAGAGGCTTTGGAATCAAAAGAGCTAGCTTCAATTCCTAACCTCTTCACCTCACTGCCTGTCTGACCTTGAGCAAGTCACTGAAAATGAGAGGATTCGGACTTCACCCCCCTGAAGTCTTTCCAACCCTAGAATCAAGATCCCTTAATTCTCAAGAGATAAAATAGTTGGAGAATTCAGAAGCCCTCGATTTGAATGTCAGCTCTGCTACCATTTCTCTGTGAAAATTTGGGAGATTCACTTCCCTTCTTAGCATCTCAGTTTCCTCATCTCTAGAGTGGAGATTAAAACTATCTGATCTACCTCACAAGGTTGTTATAAGGCTCAAATAGGAAGATGAATGTGAAGCACATTGTAATCCATAAAATACTACCCAAATATGATAAGTTACCACTATTACTATTATCTTCATTTACAGATGAGGAAACTGGGTCATGCTGCTAAGCTAGGGTCAGTCATGACTGGAGTCCAGGAATCTTAACTCCAAGGTCATCTCTCAGGGAACTATCTGGAAGCAGCTGTAGTAAGATAAGTCTTGTGGTTCTGGGTCCAGTGTTTTTAAAGTTTCCTGGTGACAGGCCTGAGTCTCCTTGCTCCCAGCTATGGGGGTTGTCCCCTTGCCAGTTGGGTTGGCAGACTTGGAGAACTTTTATTTCCTTATTTTACTGGAATTCTCACCTCCCAAAAGTGAGATGGAGAAGCATGGTTACACCCATCCTTGACAAGCTGCCAACCACCACAATCCCTCTAAGACTGGTTCACACAAAGAAACAATGATTATAATTTTTAAAAAAAGGAAGAAAATTGAAGGGTTTTCTGTAATATGAGAGGTTTGGAATAGATGACCTCTAATCCTTTTCAGGAATATCAGTCCATTATTCTAGTAGCATAATGGATAGAAAACTGGCCTCAAAGCCAGAAAGACCTGGGTGTGAGTCCAATCCCTGACGCACACTTACTGGTTGTGTGACCCAGGGCAAATCCCTTAATATTTCTGTGACACAGGCAATGCTTTACCTGGCAGTATTGATAGAGAACTGACCAGTGATGTGCCATTAAAGAGCATGCCTGCGTGTGTTTTCTTTCTGTCTTGCCCTAGGTAACTCTCTAAGAATGCAAGTTGTAGAGAGGGGGCCAACCTGTATTGATAGAGGAAGTTTCCTTATCTAAATCACAGATCCAATCCCCACTGCTGCCCCTACTCTAGCAGGTAGTTTATGAAAGTCTAGGGCTAAGTTTGAGATAGTTGGCTTGTAAGAATGATGCAACTGCTACAGCCAACTGAAACCTATTCTCTATTTCTAGTTCTGGATTATCCCCAGCATCCTCGGCAGTTCCAACCTTTATTTCTTGTCTGACGATGACTGGGAAACAATTTCTGCTTGGATCTATGGCTTTGGCCTATGTGGCCTCTTTGTTGTCTCCACGATCTTCCACACCATCTCCTGGAAGAAAAGACACCTCAGGTAAGACAACATCTCCTATTAAGAAAGAAAAATGGCTGGGAGGGGACAGTGAATCAGCATGACCTCCTCATATTCTCATTCTCAATCTCTCTCTGTTTCTCTTTCTTTCTCCCCATCTTCTTTCTGTCCTTTCTCTCTCTCCCCTCTCTCTCTCCTCTGTCACTTTCTCTCCCTCTTCTTTCTCTTCCTTCCCCTCTCTTTCACTCTTTCCCCTCTCTTTCACTCTCTCCTCTGTCTTTCACTCTCTCCTCTCTCTTTCTCCCCTTTTTCTCTCCTCTCCTCCCCTTCTCTCTCTCTTTCTCCCCCTTCCCTTTTGTCTCCCTCTCCTTTTTCTCCTTTCCCCTCCATGTGTTTCCTTCTGTGTCTTTATCTGTCTGTTGCTTTCCCTCTCTCTCTTTTTATTTTTTATGAATGAATCACAGGGTTCCATGCAGGGGTATTCTGATAAATGTTTAACAACCAGCTCTACAAAATTCACAACGGAACTTTTAAGTTTAATTTGCATTATTAACATTTTCTTCATCACTTTCTGAACTCTAGACAATCAGTTAAAAAAAAAAGTCCTGATTTGTACCATTTCTGAGGTATGTATGTATGTATGAGGTAATGCTCACACTGAAAATTCAACAGTCAGCCCTTAAAGGCTAGTATAGGCTTGCTCTAGCACACACCTATTTACATCCAACAAAAGATATCAGCCCTTTGAAATTATTTTATATGATGTTTGGCTTTTGGAGAGGCAGGGAGGACACAGAGAACTGTCTTGGAACCAAGAAGCACTGGGTTCTAGTCCTGCCTTTGACACATACTGGGCAAGTCACAACCTTTCAGTGGTTTGCAAAGAGCTCTACAGACATTAAATCATTTAATATTCACAACCCTTTGAGATAGCTATATCATCACCCCCATTTTACAGATGAGGAGGTTCATAGTCACATGGGTAGGGAAAGGAAGGGAATAAGCATTTGTTAAGTGCCTACTTTGTGCCAGGCACTGTGCTATGTGCTGTACAAATATTATCTCATTTAATCCTTACAACAACCATTGGAAGTGGTCACTATTACATTTGAAGAAACTGAGGCAGACAGTGGTTCTATTACTTGCCCAGGGTCACATAGCTAGTAAGTGTCTGAAGTCACATTTGAAATCAGTTCTTTCTAACCTCCTGATTATAATACCTGATTTCAAGAACTGACTCTGGCACTCATTAGGTCTATGATTCTAGGAAAGTCATTTGACCTTTCAAACCTCTGTTTCTTCCTCCAGAAAGTGAGGAGAAGACTACTTCTACAACTTACCACACAGACCTGTTTTGAGAAAAGCACTGTGTGAATTTTAAAGAGTTATGGAAACATGAAGTATTATTTTTAATCAATCAACATGTATTAAGCACCTACTATGTGCCAGGTGGACAGCTAAGTGGCACAGTGGATAGAGCACTGGGCTTGGAATCAGGAAAACTCATCTTCATGAGTTCAAATCCACACTCAGAAAACACACTTACTAGATGTGTGACCTTGTGCAAGTCACTTAACCCTGCTTACCTCAATTTCCTCATCTGTAAAATGAGCTGGAGAAAATGGCAAACCACTCCCATATTTTGCCAAGAAAACCCCAAAGTGAGATCACAGAGAGTGCAGGAGTTTGCTGATGTAGACTTAGCTTCCTGCAGCCCACCAAGCTGAGATTGTAGTATACAGCCTCCATGTAATTCTGTAGTGAGGGAAAGAGTACCCTGGGAAGTGGAGTCGGCTTTCTGGCAGTCAGTCAATAGAGCAGACACTTTATGGGGAAGCATAGCAGTGACAGGCTGTAGCTTAAGTCCATTTGTATCTCTTACACTTTTTATAACACGCCTGCAACCCTTTCGGTCTTCAACAAATATGAATAATAATACAATAGAGAAAAATCAGTGCTCTATTGTTTCATTTGAAGAGGGAATCTATTAACCCTTTGTACTTTCTGTTCTTTTGTTAGGATACATTATATAACTGGACAGATACTATAAATGGTATATTTTGACATAGCAACATTTAATAGAACATAGTAACATTTTGGGGGTGTTAGGTTATAATTTGAATTATAATTTCATCAGAATAAAGACTTCCCAATAGCAGAGTTAGAATTGAAACCTAGGGGTTCTGACTCCCCATTCAGAGGGATTTTTATTCAGAGGGTGTTCCCCACACACACACTCCCCACCCCCTCTTGTTTATACTGACATCCCTCATGTCTGTGTTTTCAGCAGCATTGCTCCCTCTGTTGATATTTCTTTCATGAGAACAATGCTCTGGCCATAATATACTGTCCTTTTACCCCTCTGCTCCTAGGATGGTGGAACACTGCCTGCACATGTTTGACAGAATGGTGATCTATTTCTTTATAGCAGCATCGTATGCCCCCTGGTGAGTAAAGCATGAAACTGCAGTCTAGTCCTACAAGTCGGACTGTTCTCACACACTGCTCAAGGCTTTCTTTCAGCAGCGGGATTTTTTTAAAAAATTAATTTATTTTGATTTATCAACAATCACTTCCATATGCTTTTGAGTTTAAAATTTTTCTTCCCTTTCCTCCCCACCACCCTCTCCAAGATGGCACACAATCTGATATAGGCTATACATATACATTCCTATTAAACATTTTTTCACATTAGTGATGTTGTAAGTACAGCGTCAGGATTTTTAAATTTAAGTTAGAAGTTAATTTAGTGATTTCTGAAGTAAGGACACCACGATCCAAGATCCCATAGTAAAGAGCAGTGTGTGTATGTGTGTGTGTGTATATAAAACATATGTACACATATATACACACGTGTATTGTGTATGTATGTGTATACACATATACATACATATGTGTACACACATACAATACATTTGTGTATACATGCTCCTATATACATACACATATACATATAGAGAGATGTGTGTATATCTTCCCCCCTCCCCATTTAGTAACTTTGACTTGGGTGTTTGAGTGAGAAGCAGTGGGGAACAGGGCAGCAGAAAGCTATATTTGCAAAGAAAGGGTAGAAGGTTGCTGATTAATATAACAGACAGTTGGTAGCTACAATTGCACTAATAACTTCTCTAAAAAATCAGAAAAGCTAATTGGCATTGGAATTGTCCTATAATTAATACATACATTTCTTCTAGCTCCTGCCATCTTCCTTTTGTAGTGTATTGCATGTTTAGATATAAAATAGAATTCCCCATGAAAGTGAGTCAGAGGGTTGGGAAGAGGTATAATAAGGAAAGAGGCTGCCTCAATAGTGGCTAGAGAACTGGCCTGGAAGCCTGGAAGAACAGGGCTCATACAGACTAGCACATGTTTTTGAATAACCCTGCATAAGACCCTTAACTTCTCATGCAACAACAAAATTTGTGGAGAACATGCAGCAGTCCTGCATTGGTAGAGGGAGTTTCCTCACCAGAAGGTTCCCTATATTTATAAAACTACAGGTCAAATCCTTCTCACTATCATAAGCGGAAGAAGGAAGGTAAGTCATTCAGTCAACAAGCATTTATTAAGTATTTTACTACGTGTTGGGCACTGTGTTAAGCCCTGGAGATATAACTACAATTAAAAAAAAAACAAACCAGGCTTTGCCCTTACAGAGCTTATATCTTACTTCTTTTCAGAGGCTGGAGGACTATGGGTATGTAATATTGCTTATGTTAGTGTTTCTTATATGTTGGTTAATTTTGATGAACATTTTCCCCCTCTTTTTTACTCTTGTTATAAAGGAAGACTCTTTAGGAGGGAGAGGAGGAAGAATACTTTGGGAAATATAGATAATGTAAAAACAAAAAAATATAAAAATATTTTAAAAGGAATAATTGGTTAAGATAGGGAGTTACCAGATGGTAGCCTTGGATGAATTGTCTGCCTGCCATGCCCTGATGTACCTCCTCCCACCTCTCCTGGCACCCTTCCCAACAATAGGTCATAGGTGCCCCCTGAGTCTCTGTCTAAGGCAGTCCTCCCCTCAACTGAAGAATGTTTCATGATGCTTGCCATGGACACCATTTGTGATATTTGATCCAGGGTACAAAAATTCCTAGTTATGACTCTGAGAGCATGAGGAAAACAATGAATTGTCTCATGCAACTTCTCAACTGAGGCTTTTTAATCTCATGTTTTTCCCTTTGAATATACGCATTTTGAGGACAGGGACTGTTTCTTTTTTCTTTTTTTTTTCTTTGCTCTGTCATCAGGAGGGAGTCAAGTCTCTGTGAATGCAAGAAGATGGAGGGAACAAGAAAGGAAAAGGTTGTTTTGAAAGCTAATAAAAATTATTTTAAAATGAAAGCCGGTTTGTTGCCTATGAAACAGGCATTCCAGAGAGCACAGTGAAAGGGATGGGTCACTTTAGCGTGGGATATTGAGAGGGTTGGGTTGAGGGGGATGAGGACAAGGGGGTAGTTAGTGGGAGAGGGGTGGAGAATGGGGTTTGAACAATAACAAGGGGTTCAGAATCACTAGGATGGGGTGAGCATGACAGGGTAGAATTATGTTAATTATTGAGGAATGAATTCAAGTAGGTTATCATTGATCATAGGGTTTAGCCTTAGGTAGAACTGTCCCAAGATGTCAGGCAGCTATAGGTGACTGGAATGGGGTGGGAGAAGTGTGGAGTATGCCAGGACAGGGCAAGGCAACTCCTGTGGAACTGTGGGAGGTCAGAGAGGGTATCTGAATACCTAGCATAGTGCCAAGTACATAGTAGGCACTTAAGAAGTTTATATTAACTGAATGAATGAATGTATGTGTGAAAAGGCATTTATTAAGCTGTTACCGTGTGCCAAGCACTGTGCTAGATGGCCATGACCCCTAACTATACTCTGGACTTAGATATATGGTGAGCCTGGACATAGACATAAGGGACACATTATGGAAGGATATGGCCATCCTTCTTGAAGTAGGTAACTGTCAAAGGGTCAAGATGCTCCCCCCAAATATCCTACTTTTTCAAAATGACCCATTCTAGACTTGCCATCCATGTATTAATTTAAATAATGGAAAGTTTTACTTATGAAGGTAATGAAGGTAAACATATTTGTCATAGAAGCCTTAGGAGTATAGGACTAGCTTTTGAGTACCGAGGCTCTGTTATGACTATAGAAACGAAATTTCTCACCTCCAGCCTTTCTTGTCCCCTAGGCTTAATCTCCGGGAGCTTGGTCCCTGGGCCGCCCACATGCGCTGGATTGTCTGGATCATGGCTTCTGTTGGGACCATCTATGTGTTCTTCTTCCATGAACGGTAAGCATAGGTTATGGAAGTGTGGGTAGGATTCATTTGCCTGTGACAAGGTAAAAACTTTTTTTTCTACCTCTGGGATCCCTGTCTGAGCAGTAGTTGCTGGGGGTAGTACTGTGCTCTCACCAACAAGGTGGGATCCATATCTCCAAAGTAGCACATGTTATTACCATGAGATGACCATATGACAGCCAGCTCTAGAGACCTATCTGGTGTTTAGGATCACAGGCAGACTTTAATTTATAGTCTATGCATAGTTTATTCATAATGCCTTATGTATAGATGACTATGTACACTTTCAGAAAGAAAAAAAGAAAGAAGAAAGGAGGAAGGAAGGAAGGAAAGAAGGAAGGAGGGAGGGAGGGAGGGAAGGAAGGAAGGAAAGAAGGAAGGAAGGAAGGAAGGAACAACAGGAAGGAAAAGCATTTATTAAGTACTTACTGTGTTCCAGGGACTGTGCTAAATGCCAGAGATAGACAGACAGGCAGGCAGACAGACAGACAGATATATAGATAGATACAAAAACAAAGACAGTCCCTGTCCTCAAGGAGCTTACATTCTAATAGAGAAAGACAGACATGCTAGAGTGATGGTAGAGGAGGGGTACTTTGGTTTAGTTATTCTATTTTTTTGTTTGTTTTTTTGGCTAGGCAATGGGGTTAAGTGACTTGCCCAGGGTCACACAGCTAGTAAGTGTTATGTGTCTGAGGCTGGATTTGAACTCAGGTCCTTCTGAATTCAGGGCTAGTGCTCTATCCACTGCACCACCTAGCTGCCCCCTGGTTTAATTATTCCGGACTTTGGTCTCGAATAGGAGAGGGAAAGGGGTGCCTCCTCCCATTCCTGTGAAATATGGCTGAGAACTGCCAGCAATAGTGAGTGAGGTAAGGCAGTTGTCACTCATCAGGACAGAAGGGGAGGGGCCAAAGCAGAAGTTTCAGAGATGAAAGGGCTAACTTCTCTGGAATTCCAAGAGAACTTTGTGTTCTACTGAGGATTTATAACTGATAGGATTCTTGGTTATTCTTTCTATTTACTCCATGGGATTTTCCTCATTTCCACTTCTCTTTTCCTCAGGGTGAACTGAGATGTTAGATAACTTGCAAAGCACACTGTATCTCGTAGCCCCAGACTTGCCTCTTAATGGGCGTTATTGTCTTTCCTCCCTTCTCAAAGAGTACCAATGGCATCACAAGGGTGGTGACTTGGATTTAAGTGAGGAAGAGCTACAAAGAGTTATTAACCTCACTTTCTTCTCCAGAGTCATCAGAGTCCAGTAGCAAGACAAAAATCAAGACAATTTGGGTGCCTATAATAATGATGATAATAATAAAAGGCAGCTAGGTGGCAAAGTGGAATAGAGCACTACGCCTAGAGTCTGAAACACCCGTGTTCAAAGCTAGCCTTAAACACTTGACACTTACTGGCTGTGTGACCCTGTAAGACGCTTAACCCCATTGCCTTGTCCCCTGTACATATACATACATACATCATATACACACACACATATGTGTGTGTGTGTGTGTGTGTGTGTGTGTGTGTGTATCCTAGAAACATTTGATAGGGCCAGATTGTGGTGAACTATAAATGTCAAAAGGAATAGTTTTATATGTGATCCTAGAGGTAATAGGAAGCCACTGGAGTTTATCGAGTAGGGGGTGACATGGTGAGCCTGATGCTTAAGAAAAATCACTTTAGTTGCTATGTGGAGGATGGGTTGGAATGGAGAGAGATTTAAGGAAGAGTGAACAGTTAGTAGGCTATTGAAATAGTCCAGGTGAAATGATGTTCTGAATTAGGATGGTTTTGGTTTGAGTAGAGGGAAAGGAGCAGATATGAGATTTGCTGTGGAAAAAAAATGAAAAGATTTAGCAACTAATTGGATAAGTGGGGTGAGGCAGAATAAGGAGTTAAGAATGACATGCAGGTTTCAAACCTAATTATTTGGAAGGATGATGTTGGCCTGACAATAATGAGGAAGTTCAAAAGGGGTGGGTTTGGAGGGAAAGACAATGAGTTCTGTTTCAGACATGAGCTAAAGAGGTCTATAGGACACCTAGTTTGAATGCTCAATAGGTCATCGGTGATGCCCAGGAGAGACAGTGGAGCTGAATCTATAGATCTGGGAGTCATCTGCATAGACATTGTAATCAAGTCCATAGGAGCTGATGAGGTCACAGAGAGAGAGAAAAAGAGAGAGAGAGAGAGAGAGTAGAAAGAGAAAATGATGAGTACTCGTTTAAAAGGATAATTTCATTACATTAGACATTTTCAGTATGTGTTAGGTGCTTTGACTTTTAGTCTATCCAAATCTGGTTGATGCCATTTCAGGATGAAACCTTGGTGGACACCCACAATTAGGGGGAATGACATGGAAGATGATCCAGAAAAAGAGATTAAGAAGGAGTGGTCAAATAGTTAGATGGGGAACCAAGAGAGAAGAGAATCATGAAAACCCAGAAAGCCATGAATTTCCACAAGGAAAAGCTGTGAACCATATGAAATGTCACAGAGAAGTTAAGAAGGATGAAGATTCATAAGAGTTAACATTGATGTAGCCTTAAAGACTTGTAAAGTGCTTTACATATCTTAAGTCATTTTATCCTCACAATAACTCCATGGAGGTAGTTACTATGATCATCCCCAAGATTACAAATGAGGAAACTGAGGTACAGAAAGGTTAAATGATTAGCCTAGAGTCACACAGCTAGTGTCTGAGGCAAAATTCAGACTCAGGTCTTCCTAGCTCCAAATTCTAAGTTCTATCCACTGTGCTCTGAACCTTCCCTTTTATGAAAAGGCCATTTGATTTGGTAATGAAGAGATTATTGGTAACTAGAGAGAGAGCAGCTTCAGATGAGTGAGGTCAGAAGTCAGATTGCAAAGGGTTAAGACTAGAATGAGAAGAGAGAAAGTGGAGGAATTGAGTGTGAACAGTGTTATCAAGAAGTTTGGCTGAGAAAGAGAGGAGAGATGTAGGATATTAGAGATGGCAGGATATAAACAAGGGTTTTTGTTTTGTTTTGTTTTTTAAATGGAGGAGAATGTTTGTGGCCCATAGAGAAGGAACCAGCAGTCAGGAAAAGATCAAAGACTGGAGGGAGATAATATTGCTGGAGAAGAAAAGGAGGGGGTGGGGGAAGAATCTAGAGTGCTTGTAGAGAGGCCTTGGTCAAGAATAGTTTCTTTATCGAAGACTGAAATAAAGGAGGTATTGGAGAATGATGTCACAGGTTTGTGAGATGAGGAAAAGAGAGGAAGACAGACCTCACAGTCAATGGCCTAAATTCTCTAGTAGATTCTGAGATGAGATACTCAGCTGAGAGGTTAGAGAAAGGAGGAAGTGTGCAAGGCATGAGGACAAAAAAAGGCTTGGTACAGCAGCTGTGTTGAGAGGGATAAAAATTCAATTAGGGAGGAATAAAATGATTTCTTTGTTGCAGTAAGAACCTAGGTTGAGATTAAATAACATAAATTTGTAGTGGACCCAGTCAAGCAGGACTGTAGGACTTTTTCCAGTTCTGTTCCTCATTGCCATGAATAGGAACAGAGGAGGACAGTGGGAGTAAGCCAGGCTTAGGGTTCGGTAAGGTAATAGCTAGTTTCTTTGTGCCAGCCACAAAGTAGAAGTACTTTAGAATTCTAGTGTTAGAAGGGAAGGGGGGGGACTGGCCGAACAGTCATTTCCATTCCATTACATCAGACATTTTCAATATGGATTAGGTATTGACTTTTAATCTCTCAGAATCCAGTTCATGCCATTTCGGTGAGATTTTAGGCTGTAGTTTTGAAAAATAGCAAATAGGAGGAAACTCAGAGAATTTATATATGGAAATGAAGAAGAAACTCTGATAGGTAGGACCTTTAATTTCAGATTTTTAATTTGGGTTTATAGAACTCAAGAGAACCACATGATTCAGAGAAGGAGACTTCAGATTTCAAGTCAAAGGACCTGGTTCAAATTCCCTATCTCCTTCTTATAATCTGTGTGACCTTGGGCACTTAATTTCTCTAGGCCCTGATTTCCTTATCTGTTAAATAAGAGGGCTGGGCTAGAAGGCCTTGTAACCCTAAAGCTATGATCCTACAAGAAAACGTGACAGTGAGAACATAACTGAGGTGGCCCCTTCGTCACTCAACTTTTGTAAAAAAGGCCTCAATAAAAGGTCTGCACAAGGAGATGATTAGATTTTAAAGGCAAATGATTAGATTATTTTTTCCCCTGTGCCAACCCACCAGCCCTCCAGAAAACAGTAGAGCAGAGAGACAAGGATACAACCAGATCTCTGGAAAAGACTGGATTTACAGGGTCCAGACTTTGGGTTCATTGGTCTCCAGGCCCAACAGGAAGATAATGGGGATTGATGAACCTGACCCTGCAGGTTGCTCAGTGTCTTGGGCATTCCTCTAGGTTCAGGACAAGCAAGCTGTCCCACATAGAAATATTATAGGAAAGTGGATCGGGTGGTTTGTTTTTTTTTAATTTAGAATTTTATTTAATTGATTTCCTACTTTTGATGTCACAGAAAGCAGGAGCACCAATTAACAAGGTTGCACATAGGGTGGAACTTTCCAGCAAGAAGATTCTAGATATGAGGAAAGGGGTTCCAGAGAGAAGGGGCAGGCAGGGGAACGAGGAAGGTAAGAGAGCTTCTTTAGGACATGAAATAGCCTGATAGAGAAAGACAAGTTTTTGAAAAATAATTTTTTTTTCAAATTACCACAACCACATTACTTAAATTCTAGGTTCTTAAGGTAAAAAAAAAAAAAAGAGTTTCTCTTGTCTTTTGTTAATATACAATGAACTGACTTCCACCTATAAGACTTTGGAACTCGCCTCCTTACTCTTTTTTGTGTCATAGATTCCATTAGCTATTATGCACCTCCTCTCAGAATGATGGTTTTAAATGCATAAACTAAAATACATAGGGTTACAAAAGAAACTAATTACATTAAAATTCAGTTGTAAAAATGTTTTTAAAAAAAATTTCATGGACAACCCTTGCTCTGGAGCCAAAGGATGTGGTTTTGAAACATGTCTTTGACACTCAGCACTAGAGTGAACCTGGGAAAGTCAATAAACTTCTCTGGGCCTCAGTTTCCTCATCTGTAAAATGAGGGGGTTAGAGTAGGTGGATTCCAATGTCTCTTTCAGCTCTAAATGTGTGGTCCTAGGATCTTATTTAACATTTGTTAAGTTCCTAATCTACTTTGTAAAGAAAGGCAGGAGCTTGTTTGTGGGCAATACTTAAATTTCTTTGCCTGGACATTTAGTGAGCAAATCGTCATTAGCAAACACCAATAAACTTGATTGGTGCATCCTCGGGAGGTTAGAAACTCTGCCAAGGAAATCAGGATGGAAGATTTGGATTTTCAGTTCTTAGCTGCCTCCATCCAAGATGGCATCACCACCAGACGTTAGGAAACTGTGTACCAAATAATGAAGCTCAACCCTACTAAGTACAAGGCTTCTTGTTCTTCTGTACCAGATACAAACTTGTGGAGCTGCTCTGCTATGTCGTGATGGGGTTTTTCCCAGCTCTAGTCATCCTTTCTATGGTAAGTAACTCCTGCCTAAAGGAGGACCTCGTGCTCTATCATTGATCTGGAATTCATTAAAACCATTCAGAAGGGAGTGACCAGAATATAAACACTGATCACTGACCAAGATTAAATGGCCAAGACATTCAAATTAACTTCGGTTTTTCCTTAGTTTTAGTTCGTGGTTTGGCAACATGGACTATGTAGACATAGCCATAGCAAATACAATCTGATTTGAGACGCAACATCAAAAGAGGGAAATGGCACCTCTCCTGTCCTTAGCTGGCTTTGAATGCAGGCTTCCATAATCCTCAAGCTGGAAATTTACCTGTCTCCTACAGCTAGAATAATATATACCCAAGATGGCCACGTCCCATACTAGGAACCATCTGTGAAGTGGAGGGTTTCTGGGTATGGGAGGAGCATCTTATGTGTAAGGATGGAGGGGGATCATCACTGAGCATAGTGGGGCATGTGGACTACATGTACACGAAGCTTTCCTGCCATTCCCCCAGCAGATCAAATGAGCCCCTACAGGGTACCATTATTCATGTAGTGGCCACTGCCCCTTCAGATTGTTGTCCTCTCAAAAAGGCTTGATAACCTCCCTCCCCCCATTCCTGTTTCTCTTGGAAGAGTTAATCCTTTTCTCTCCCTCCATTTTCAATCAATGAATCAATCAGCAAGCATGTATTAAGCACTTACTATCTGCCAGGCACTGTGCTAATCCCTGGAGATACAGAGAAAGGTAAAAAACACAGCCCAGACTCGAGGAGCTCACTTTCTAAGAGAGAAACAACATGCAAATAACTATGTACACACAAGATATATAGAAAGAAAGCAGATGGAAAGGCATTAGCCATTCAGAGGAGGTGCAGAGTAACCCTTCTCACCTCTGACACTGCCACCAATCTAGTACAGGCCTTCATCACCTCATGCCTAGGCTACTGCAAAAGACTACTGGTGGGTCGATCCGCCTCAAGTCTCTCCCCTTTCCGGTCCATCCTCCATTCAACCATAGAAGTGATTTTCCTAAAAATCAGGTCCATTCATGTCAACCCCCTACTCAATAAACTTCAGTCGCTCCCTATTGCTTCCAGGAACAAATACAAAATGTTGTTTGGCATTCAAAGACCTTCACAACCTAGCTTCCTCATCCTTTTCCAGTCTTCTTACACCTTATTCCCCAACATGTACTCTTTGATCCAGTGACATGGATCTCCTGGCTGCTCCATGAACAAGAAACTATCTCTCAGCTCAGAGTATTGTCTCTGGCTATCCCCCATGCCTAGAATATTCTCCCACTTCTGCTCAGACTACCAACCTTCCTGGCTTCCTTTAAGTCCCAACTAAAACCCCATTTCTATAGGAAACTTTCTTCAATCCCTCTCACTTCTAGTCCTTTTTTTTTTTGAGGTAATTGAGGTTAAGTGACTTGCCCAGGGTCATACAGCTAGTGAGTGCTATGTGTCTGAGGCTGGATTTGAACTCAGGTCCTCCTGACTCCAGGGCCAGTGCTCTATCCACTGCGTCACCTAGCTGCCTCTAGTCCCTTTTTTCTTGTAATTATTTCCTATTTATCCTGTTTATATAACTTGCTTGATATATATTTGTTTGCATATTATCTTCCCCATTAGATGGTAAGCTCCTTCAGGTCAGGTACTGTCTTTTGACTCATTTTGTATCCCTAGCACTTAACACAGTGCTTGATGCTTAGTAGGCATTTAATAAATGTTTGTTGATTAATTGAAAACTGGGAAAGGCCTCCTGTCAAAGGTAGGATGAGAGCTAAATTTTGAGAGAAATCAGGAATGAAAAGTTTCAGAGGGTCCTAGCTTGGTTCATAGCCCTCTCGGATATGAATTGCTCTAGCTGTAGGAAGAGGCAGAAACTCCTGCTTAAGGATTCTGATATCCTGCCTTCAGGATCAGCTCCAAATTAAAGCACCACTGAATATGTTTGGTATTGCTTTTAAAAATGTATTATCATTCATTAAACCTTAAACAACAGTGCCAATTAGACATGTTTTCAATTGTTTATTTCTCTGTATATTGTGTTTATAACAGGTTATTATCTACTCCCTCTGGGTTCCCTTCCATTCAATTTGTCCATTCGTTTCTATTTATGTTCCTAGTTTTCCTTTTATGTGGCTAGAGCTAGGGCCTATATTGTCCTTCTAATTTCACATTGCTTCATGTACGGTTTTCCAATTTTTTTTCTGTTCCTTGTATTTATCTTTTTTGGTGGCATCAAGTTTGGATTTACTTTTGGAAACAATTTCACACTGACTAGTAAATTTCCAGCCTCTTTTGAGGCTAGAAGAGACAGGTTGATTTTCAGGTTTCTTTGAACCCCTTACTTAACAGTTCTAGATGTAAGTAGATGAAGATATGGGAAGTGCTTTACAAACTTAAAACTCTAGAAATGTGACTTATTGTTGTTGTAGCTAAGTGTTTATTTCCATTTAAGTTCTCCTTTCAGAAGCTGCTAGGTGGTACAATGGGGAGAATGCTAAGCCTAGAGTCAGGAACATCTGAGTTCAAATGCAACCTCAGATATTTACTAGTTGAGTGACCTTGGGCAAGTCAGTTAACCTATGTGCCTCAATTTCTTCAGCTGTAAAATGAAGATATAAACAGCACCTAGTTGTTGTGAGGATCAGATGTGATAATATTTGCAAAATGCCTAACAAATAGTAGGTACCATATAAATGCTTATTCCGCTTCCCTCTTCCCTTTCTTTAAAAAAAAAGTGTGTGGAGGAAGTGCTATTAAATGAATAGGGAAGAATGATAAAGGTAAAGTGATCAACTGGAATTTTTCAAGTAGTTTGGACCCACAAGGGTTTGCTCCCAAATCTCTCTCTCTCTCTCTCTCTCTCTCTCTCTCTCTCTCTCTCTCTCTCTCTCTCTCTCTCTCTCTCTCTCTCTCTCTCTCTCTCTCTCTCTCTTTGAGTTGCTCCCTGGCCTCAGCCGAATTCCAGGCTGGGCTTGCTTCCCTGCCTCTCCATTCTACTATGCTACTGACTAGTCCCCTCCCCTCACCTTGTACTTACTGACAGCCCAACACTGATGGAATCTTGGAGCTCATGACCGGAGGTGTCTTTTACTGCTTTGGGATGGTGTTCTTCAAGAGTGACGGGCGGATTCCCTTTGCCCATGCCATCTGGCACCTCTTTGTGGCATTTGGAGCTGGCACCCACTACTATGCCATCTGGAGGTACCTCTACCAGCCCAATACACTGGAGTCGAAAGTGTCCAAATGAGATGTCAAAGAATCTCACGACGCTCCTGATGCCCGTGGAACAGTGCGTTAGAGGAGACGTTACTGGGATGAGGCCCTGCTCAGAGGTTCCAGGCCTGTCTTTTGCTTCATTGCTGGATATTGTTTTTGGATGGGTCCTGGGTCATGTCTGGTGGTTGCCAGAAACCTTTAGGGTATCTGGTGTAGGAAAAAAGCACTAGAAGGCTTTATTGGAGGGCAAAAAAGTTAACCAGATACTTCGTGTATGTTTTAGACAAGTCATCCATAACAAAAAACAACATTAATGTCTTCAGGAAAGAGAACTGATCTCTTTCTGGAAACAAGTAAGCGGGCATGACGGGCAAAAGACTTTGTTCACAGGATCCCGAAAACCTTTAAAATGACAATTGTACTCCTCTGGGGAGAAAATCAGCCTCTGTGTGCGCCACATCAATCAGAACCCACCTTTTTTTTTGCAACCTGGATGCTCAAACTGCCAATACTACAGAACCAATTGGTCTTCTAGACGGTTTCAGGGATGGGAAGGTGATCCTCTCTGGAATCTGGCTCTGCCCAGTCTAAGACCATCCAAGAGTGGACACTCTTTTTCCTCTTAGGAAAGTGAATACTTTCCTTTCCCACTCCCTCCTTTGCTAAAGTCCTTTTCTGACCCTAGGTTCTCTTGGGTATGTATTGAAATGGCTCTTTCTACCCTGACATTTTAGCTGTGTTGGGAAGGAGTTGGAGGGAAAATATACGATAGAGTTGTGGTTGCTTCAATTTCTAGATTGAATCTGCAGGTGGGCCTGGTGACTCCAGCAACAAAAAAAAGAGACACTTTATGCTGTTGGGAGATGACTTGAGAGGAAGGGTCCTAGTCATCTCACCAGAAACGCAGAATTGGAAGGGCAGTTTGGGGAAGGCAAAAGAGCTTTGTTGAAAGCTGTCTCTGCCATTTCCAAGCCTCAAATACATAAGAGCAAGTAGTGAGTGGTGCTCTTAATGGATAGGGAAGGAGATGGTGGCTGGGAGGAATTTATAATACTCAGATTCTTTTTTTTTTCTTGTTCCCAAGTGGCAAAATTTGATATTATTTAAAACTGTTTGTTTTAAGAAATTGGGACTCTTCCTTCTTCTCTTTCCCAACCCCCAAGCTTCAGGGTAGCCTCAGAGGAAAACCCCACCAATGAATGTAAACATGAATCCTGACAGAACTTCTAGGCCAAAATCTCTGAAACCCAAAGACCATCTAGACTGAAAAGGCTTCCTGACACCAACCGGTATTGTCTCATTCCATGGGCTGGGGAGGAGGGGGAAAGTGGGGGTGTCTCTATGGATGTAATACCTCACGTGGCCACTAAGACAGAGGCATCCTGGCATAGACAGAGTGCTGGATTTGGAACCAGGAAGACAGGTTTGAAACCAGCCTCTGGTAATTTACTGGCTGTGCCACTCTGGGCAAGTCATTTAACCTTTATGTGCCTAAAACAACTCTATAGGGCTACTGTCCCAATAACTGACAGGTTGTGATGTCTGTTGGTGGAAGTCCCACACTGACCATCACAGTCCCTCCTGCCTACTTCAAGGTTTCTATTTGAATAAGGCAGTAGCAGGAAGCATGGACCCAATGCATTGGAAGACCTGATTCTAAAACACCTTATTCCCTACAGAGCTCAGAATCAGCAAAGCCTTATACAGTACTTAATTAAACTTGAATACATTCCAGGACTATTTTAGGACTCCAGGCTATGGAATCCCTCCTGTCTAAGTCAGTATTAATTTCCTTTGACACATTCCATAGAGATGTGATCCTAGAGCTGGGAAAAACTTTTGTGATGATGCACTTTGTTCAGGAACTTGAGGACCTCTGATGTCTGCTCAGTTGAGTATTAAAATGGCAGACTTTAGCATAGTTATTTCTCTAGGTTGGATTAAAATGATGAAGATGATATCTCAACTTGGAGGCAGGAGAGGTACCCATTGTGTGGATTCTAGGCTGGGGTGAGAGGTAAGAGACTTCACTTGTCCTCAGAGAATTTATACTTTAGTAAAGATAACTACATGTTGCAAATATGGGCTTAATTTCCATGCCAGTAAGAATCTTTACTCTAGGACATGTCTTAAGTTTCGTCATCTGCAAAAATGAGAGGGTTGGACTAAATGATTTCCAAGGTCCTTTCCATATCTAAATCATGTGAGTCTATGATTATCCTATGTGAGAGCATTTCATCTGTATTCAGACCAGGACAGTCCTGTTGCACTGTCCAAAATATGGCAATGGGGCTAGTTTTTCAGGCACAGGCATGAAATAAAAATAAGGAAACCCGAAGAGTGCAAGGGATGGGAGGGAATCAGGCAATTCAGTAATTGTTATTGACAGTATTTTCCTGGAACACCTTGGAGAAACTGGAATACGTTTGGGCAGAGCTGCCCTGTGGCAACCCTGTGACGCTGGTAAGGTTTGCTTTCGTGCCCTCCCATGTCTCCTTTTATTGCCCATCTCCCCAAGCTCACTGGACGAGGAATCAGGAGACTCAGGATGTAGTTCTGGCTGTGATAGTTACTTATCCTAGGTGATTTGGCCAAGTTGCCTAAACTCTCCTGGATTTAGTTCTGTCATCTATAAGAAGAGGAGATTGGACTAGTTGGTCCCTCCTAGTTCTGGTGTTCTCTGAGCTGCAATATGGTATAAATGAAGTGAGATCTGGAGGACTCAAATTCCAGCCCTGCTACTTACTCTGTGGATGACCTTTAGCAAGTCACTTAACCATAACGGGCTTCAAGTTTCTTTGCCTGTAAAGTGAGGAGTTTGGACTCAATGATATTTAAGCCCCTTTATCTCTAACTCTGGAAATCTGTGATCTCTAAATCTCTTTTCATTTCCAAGATTAGTTTCTGCTCTCGGTTTGAGTTCCTGACTTCCAAAGAGCTTTGACTTGCTCCCTTCTTTCTATTGGACTGTCTGCCCCAAGAGCCAGAGCCCAGCTCTTTTTCCCAACTGCTAATATCAAATCAGGTAATATTTGTAAAGCACTTTGCAAACCTTCAACTGCTGTTTAAATGTTAGCTATTATTATTATTATTAACAACAATAATAGTTTAAGGTAGTACTTCTCCCCAGCATATTTACACTGGATACTGGAAGATGAAATGCTCTTTAGACTCAAAAGAATGAATCCCTAGTGATGAGATCTAAGGCAAACAGTTGACTGACTGAAAGGGGAGTTATTTTTCCTTGGGGATGCTTCTCAGTTTCTCATCTACCAATTAGTCAATCAACAAGCATTTATTAAGCACTTAATATATTCCAAGTACTATGCTAGGCACTGGGGTTACAAAAGCAAAAAAACAAAACAGTCCCTGCTGTCAGGGAGTTTCTGTTCTGTAAGAATGTGCCAATTCAGTTTAAATGAACATCTATCAAACAAATTGCTACTATGGACAGATCATAAATCATTTACCAACAGGCCTTAGGTCCTTAAAGTAGGGCCCAGAATTGGACATAAGCAGGTTCTCTGCTAAAAACCCAATTTAAGCTCCTCATTAACCTTTATCAGTTTATCATTGTCCTTAAGTAAGGCTAATTGACTATTTTCAAATGAGATAATACACGTAAGGTGCTTTAAAAACCTTAAAGTAATAGACTAATGCTAGCTATTATTATTATTACCATTATCATCCCATTTCATCTTCACACTGGCACTGAACATCCCCTGTAGCAGGCATGTCAAACTTAAATAGAAATGGGGCCCACTAAATTGTAAATAAGGATGCCAGTGGGCACATATTGACTTAGAAAACCACTCATGTTTATATATATTTTTCTTGCACTCAGCAGTGTTGGAGGGGGCCCACATATTTGACACTTCTGCCCTAAAGAAACAGTCGTGGGAGCCACTTCTTGATGTAGACTCAGTATGCGGGGAATCGATCGATTGCTTGTAGACCTCTGTATTTAAAATCGCTGATGCCCTCTTCCTCCTGGTTGCTTGTGAACACTAAATCAGGTACACCACGGATCTAGCCCCAGGGCAAAGGAGTCTGCTCACATTTTTGCCTGAGAGATTGCTCAGGCAGGCCAAGCCTTCATCAACAGCAACAGTCTCATTTTTGACATTCTAGGCATGTCAGCTGTTGTTCCCAAGCTGCTGATACAGTGTCAGGTGAATGCTACTGGGGCCGGGTGACGTCAGCTTAGTGGGATGAATAGCAGAGCAACAACATCGAGGAACAGGAACATTCAGCCTCCATAGCAACAGAGAGACATGGAAGAAGAGAAAGAGAAAGAAGGGATATGGAGAAAGCAGTAGCCTTACAGGACTGTGGAATTTTAGAACTGAGAAGCAGTCTTAGAGACCTTCTCTGAGGCGTCATGATGCAGCAGAGAGGGTTTTAGACTTGGAATCAATATGAGTTGGGTTAGAATCCCACCTCAGACACTTGCTTTGTGACCCTTGGCTAATCACTAAATTTTTCTGAGTTCGGTTTCCTCATTTGTAAAATGAGAGAATTGGACTTGACTTTGAAGGAGACTTTCAGCTCTTAAGTCCTGATCCTAGCTTATAGCCCAACCCCCACTTTTGTGAGCTTTGATCTTTATTTTATTTCAATTAACAAGCATTTGTTTTCTACCCCACTGCACCCAACCCTGTCCAAAAAGAAAAAGAAAAAAAGAAACTCAAAACCATTGTAACAAATCGGCCTAAACAGAGGTTTAGGGAAATAAAATGATAAGCTTTTGATCCCTTCTGCAAGTTAGTGCCTGAGGCAGCATTAGAATCTGGGTCTCCTGGGTGGAGTGTTAATTCCACCAAACCACCTGCCCCTGCCCTGGTTTAATCAGCTGGGTTGAGGAGTAGAGAGGAGTCAGGAAGGTAAGGAAGAACAGAGCTTTCTTCTGTGGTTTGAGTGCAGCAGTCCATGTTTTCTGCATGTTCCATATCTAGATAGAATGCAGCCTAATTGGCAGTTATTTCCCTAGCAGAGTTAGGAGAGCAGAGTTTGACTGTGGCCTTCCCAGTGGTTGCAAGCATGGTCGCCCTCGGCTTATTTAAGTCAATAACCCCGAGGTTCTATTTAGTGCCAGATTTGGCCCTTGCATTTGTTTATTTGATTAAAAATGACAGCTGACAGCTGACAGCTGGACATGGAGAGAATTGAACTGCATTCCCTCTCTGTTAGTTCTAGAGACTGTACCTCAGAAGATTGAAAAGAAACCAATAGAGTACCCATGGGGTTACTAACATTAGGCTTGAATTGTGAAACATTGGAAGATGGAAGTAAAAGCCAGCTCCTTCAGACTACTCACCTATAGAGGACAGCTGTGTCAACAGGGAGATGAGGCTAAACAATCATTTATAAAGGCTTTCCAGTGGATTTTTAAGCCTAAAAATACCCCTTTTCTTAGGTTTCTTTATAGCCCAAATTGAAATGTGCTGATCATTTTCCCATATAGAGCCACGTATTTTAAGGAACATCTCACCAAAAAAAGGAGCATTTCTCAGGGCTAATGCTTCCACCTGGGGAGAGCCTGGATAAATGCAGAGGGCACCACACTTTGCTAAAAATAGACAGTGCTGTACTTTGTGAACCATGATGGGAAATTAGATGTGATTAGAGGAAGGGCTGGAGGCAGTGGGTAGTAGGAAGTACTTCCGGCAGAACCTGGATTTTACCAGGCCTACAGAACATAGGTAAAAATCTATCCTGCCAAGTATTCTGACCACGTGGGCCACAAGGCCTGAGCACTGTTGGACTCCAGAGGCAGAGGGAGGATGTCACAGTTCTCAAGGCTGTGTTAGGCCCCATCCTTTCCTGTTAAAATCCTTTACTTCTTTCCAGGCTCAACACTGGTGCCATCCATTCTATGAAGACTTTCCTGATCCCACTCCCAAGATGAAAGTGTCTCCTTTCTTGAATTTTTCTACTTTGCCCTCCTCATACTCTACCTTATAATATATTTATCTGTCTGTATACATCTACAGATATCTAGGTATAAATATGTACCCTACACTCTAGAGGATAGAAAGTAGGCCCTGTTGTCAGGAAGAACCTGAGTCAGAATCCTGCTTCAGGCACTCACTCACTAGCTCTGTGACCCTGGATAAATCATTTAACCTCTCTTGGCCTCAGTTTCCTCATCTATAAAATGAGGATAAAAAAATAGCACCTACCTCATGGAGTTGTTGTGAGGATCAGATAAGTTGATATACATATGTACAGTTCTTCACAAACCTTAAAGCACTGTGCGATTACTAGATATTAGTATTGCTATTACTCCCTGTCATATCCCCTCAAGGGGCGCTAAGTAATCTCCTTGAGCATGGAGGAGATGGCTTCTCTCTCTATCTCTCAGTCTCTCTCTCTTTCTCTCTGTCTCTATCTCTTGGTTTCTCTTTCAAGATTGTAAAGAGGAAAGCACATTTGAAATGGAAATAGTGGGGGACCTGAGTACTTCCGGCAGACATCTGGCAAAGCTTCATCTTCAAGTAAGGGTTCTTAACCTTGTTAAACCTTCATGTATATAGGTAGATAGGTGTGTGTGCATATATATTGCATTTCAATATACTTGGTTTGCCTTTGTAATCCTTTATATTTATTTTTATGCTTTTAAAAATGTTATTCTAAGAAGGGTCTGTAGGTTTCCTCAGATTGCCAAAGTTAAGAATCCTGTTTTAAAGGTAGGATAAAATGAGGAAAACACTGGAAGTGGGAGTTTGGGGGAAGCACATCTTCACTTTCTTGGACCAGACTGCTACAGAGTTCTCTTATCTCTTCCATCTTGGAGTGACTAATACAGTTGGATTGCCAGCTTTGATGTCAGTCCAGGTCCTTGTGTGACTTTACTGTCACCAGTTGGAAGCAGGACCTCAAAGGTCATCTGATCCTGTGTCATTTCTTTACTAACAAGGGAAATAAAGGCCAATAAGACCAAGAAGCATTTAAACCACTTCCCTTTCTTCACATCCCATAAAGACCTGAGATTTAGGAGTGTCTCTATGAGATAGGCACTTTTTGGGTCTGATTTCTATCGGGGCCTATTTTAACTGATTCCCAACTTAAAAGCTGGGCACAGAGGACAGGGAATTAGGATTCCTAAATCACATTCTTGACCTGGCCAATGCTAAGATGGTAAGGAATCTCTCAGGACGGGCTTTGGATTTGGGGTGATCAGATCACAAATAGTCATAAGGGGGGAAACTCAGCTGGGGTGATGGGGCCTCCCCTATAAACACTTAAATATTATAGAACATTAGATAATTTTAATCCCTGGCCCCAGCTTTGAAGACACTTAAATTCTCTGCTACACCCACATCTTATCTTATTCCTTTTAGAGAATCCTTAGCTATGACAGAAGGTTAATGTGGGCAGTATTTGTCAGTATGCTGTTATTATTGCTTAAAGTGATAAAACTTGTTTCAGAATTCCCAGTGCTGAAATGAGCAAAAGAGACTGTCCCCAGTGTCCATGCTATTGCTTCACTGGTCTCCAAAGTGGCTCTTTTTTTTTTTTAAAGCCTCATCCCTGAATCTCTTCTCCTAAACTGCATGACAGTGAAACAGGACCCTAAAAGTCTGCCCCAATTCCTAATCTATATAATTCATTGAAGAGGGAACCATCATTCAGGATAGTGTTTATTTTTTTTATTTTTTTTTCCCATGTGCTTTTGAGTTGAAAATTTTTTTCTCCCTTTTTCTCGCCCCCCCCCACCCTGCCCAAGATGGCGCACAATCTGACATAGGCTTTACATTTACATACCCATTAAACATATTTTCACATTAGTGAAGTTGTAAGTAAAAATTAAAACCAATAGGAGGAACCATCAGAAAGATGAAACAAAATTCAACTTAAGGTAAAATTAAGTGAGAGCGATTCGACTTCCATAGTTCTTTCTTTGGATGTGGACAGCATTTTCCATCCCGAGGCCTCTGGATATGTCTTAGATCCTCGTAATGCTGAGAAGGGTTCAGTTTAACATTCTTAGTCATTGTATAACGTGGCTGCTCTTGTATACAAAGTCCCCTGGGTTCTGCTCACTTCACTCAGCATCAGACCATATAAGTCTTCCCAGTTTTTTCTGAAGTCAGCCTGTTCATCATTTCTTATAGAACAATAGTATTCCATTACATTCATATACCACAACTTGCTCAGCCATTCCCCAATTGATGGGCATCCTCTCAATTTCCAATTCTTTGCCACCACAAAAAGAGCTGCTGTGAATATTTTTGTACATGTGGGTCCTTTTCCCATTTGTTTGGTCTCTTTGGGATATAGCCCTAGAAGTGCTACTGCTGGATCAAAGGGTATGCACATTTTTGTAGCCCTTTGGGCATAGTCAGGATAGTGTTTAAATACCAGAGCAACATAACATAGTTGGATGTACAGAAAGGGTCCCAGAAGCTCCTTCAGTTTTGGTCATGTTCATTCTGACTACATTCTAGGCACATTTCCAGAAGGGATAGGAGGGTCCTTTTGGAAGAAAACCAAACCACAGAAATTATAACAATTCTCTAAGAAAATTCTCTAGCTTCTTTAGCAAAGAGCTGGGCTCCAAAAATCTCTTTGGTTCTTCATATTTCTCATTTGGCATCAAAGAAATCGATTTCCACCCACCAGCCAATAAAGTTTGGGGAGGCTTGGTTATTGACTTTCTTTAGTCTCATTGTAAGATATTGCCACCTTTCTCATAGAATTTTGAGCTAAAAGGAATCCTAAAAATATCTAATTGGGGGATTCTGAACCTGAGGACTCAGAGGCCTCCAAGAGGTCTATAAATGTGCATGGGAGAGAAAAATGACATCTTTATTTTCACTAACTGAAATTTAACTAACTGAAATTTAGCATTTCTTTCATTATTTAAAAACATTATTCTGAGAGGAGGTTCACCAGTTTGCCCAAGGGGTCCAGGAAGCAAACAAAAATAAAAAGATTAAGAACTTCTGATCTAGTCCAATACCCTTGTTTGAAGGAAGGAGGAAGAGAAGGGTAATAAGCATTTCTTAAGTACCAGACACTTTCCAAATATTCTTATTTGATCTTCACAATAAATAGAAGCAGGTGCTTCTATTATCTCTATTTTACAGTTGAGGAAACTGAGGCAGAGGTTAAATAAATAATTCATTCAAGGTCACACAACTACTAAGTATCTAAGGCCAGCTTTGTACTCAGGTCTTCCTTGCTCTGGGTCCAGCTCCATATCCATTATGTTACCTAGCTGCTTCTAACTTTTAGAGATGAGGAAATGAGGAATGACAAGAAAAGAGCAATCGGGTTCAAATTTTTGCTCTGCTGTTTACTACTTATGTGACTTTGCCCAAGTTACTTAATCTCTCTTGACCTCAGTTTTCTCCTCTACAAAATGAAGGAATTGGTTAGACTAGATGATCTCCAAATTATAGCCAGTGATATGTTGATGTTCACAACCAGATCTCTAGGGGAAGAATGTATGCACGATACACTTCTAAGTTTATTAACATTTTTCCATTTTTTTAAGTCTAGACAATCAACAAAACAATAAATTAGGCCCTGATATGTAGTATTTGCTGTTTTCTGAGGTGTAAATGCTCACCACTGCTTGTAATTGTAAAAACCACCCAATATCACATAGTTAGCGTTGGAGTAAAACTAGACCTCATGTCAACCTGATGCCATAGCTTTTCCTTCATCAGAGTTTCAGTAGACCGGCACATTTTATTCCATATTTCCCTACTTTTTTCAAGGGACCAAAGAAAACATAAGTACCTAATTAAAAACAGAACAAAACAAACCACTATGTCCCTTCTCTCAAGAAGCTTCAGCTTTGACAACCAGCTGTGTAGTTGGCATGGCTGTATAACATGCGCGCTCATGTGTTAGGTTGTTTCAAGAGGGATTAAATAAATGTTCAAATATTTCTTCTAAATTCTAGGTTATCTGTCTCCCTCACATTCTCCCCCCCCCTTTATCTCCTCCTTTGTTTTTTGATTTTGTTTATTGGTCTTAGTTAATGTGAGCATGAAGCAGTGTTGCATGTGGGAAAAAACCCTAGACTGGGAGTCAGAAGAACTGACCTTGCCACCAAGTAGCTGTGTGACCTTGGGCAAGACATTTGACTTCTCTGGGGCCTCCTTTCCTCATCTGTTAAATGAAGGAATTGATCTACAATAGGCTTTTCCCAACCAGTGAATCACTAGTTACTGAGGCGGGCAGCTCCATTTCCCCTTAATCCGGAAAGCAGACCATGTGACCAGACTCCCTTTGAGGTAGGAAAGGGTGACCTCCATTCTGTTGACTGTTGCTGTAACGGCCCTATCCCCTAATGTGTCCCCGAGGTGACAATGGCTGGTAGTGGAAGGAACAAAGGTAAGAGTAGATTTTTAAATTCCTCAAAGCCAAACGTGTGTCATATCCATTTATTTTTGTATCCACCGTGTCTGGCACAATACCTTAAACATAGTGAGCATAGTCTAGCAGCTATTGGTTGAATTGAATGGAATAAATTCAATTAAATAGGAATTAGATTTATTTTGGTTGATCCTAAAGGGCAGCACATGCAGCAGTGGGTGAAAAGGGAAAACTGCAAAAGTCTTGAAGTCAGGAAAGACTTCCCAACCAGTGGAGTTATCCTAAAATGTAATGATCTGCCTCCTCCTCACTGGAGTCCTTTAAGCAAAGGCTAAAGAACCATTTACTAGCTATGATTTCATGGTTTAGGTTTGGTTTGGACTACATGGCTTTTGAGGTCCCTTCCAACTGAAATTCTTTGTGATTCTATGTAGTTGACTGACTTTTTATCTTTGTATACTCAGTAAGTAATTAACACAAGGATCTGACAGTAGTAGGAGCTTAGTAAATGCTTGTTGAATAAATGAACAAATGAATTGAGCCCATTATTAACTTTCCATTATTAATGAACGCTCTTTTCCACTGTCATCATATGATTATGGTGAAGAAATCAAAAGTAGTCTTTCTTCTAGGTTGGGAAGACCTGTTCTCTGAGGTCTTCTTGGCTCGGACTCTTTAATAACTATTATGAATGGCCAGGCCAGCTTCACTTAGTAGGTTGACCCTGACTTGACAAGTGTCAATATTACCATTTTAGTTCTGACTTTAACCTTGCCTCGGTAGGTAAGATAGGGAGTCAGTCTTC